AAAATACATTGTTGATAAGCGTTGCAAATTGTTTTGGGCTAGGGGCCCCACGGGCCCCAAGGGCCCCTGGGCAGCGGCCCCACTGGCCTGGTCCGTAATCCGTCCCTGGGTGGTCCTAGTACACACCATGAACAGCAGCTCGAATCCTGCCCCTGCACTGTGTGTAGCATTTGCAGAGGTGGAGATTTCAGGTCCAGAGAGTTCAAATCTAGTTGAGTACTCTGTGACTGTGACTTTTTATACTCAAACTGGTTAGTTGAAAGAAAATCTTGGTCTGGATTTGTACTCTCTGGACCTGAAATCTCCACCTCTGGGCATTTGCCCCTGTTTGCCCCTGGCTCCCTACCACTAGAAATCAGTGTTTTGACATTGTGGGATATGTCCTGTGTGGACTGGCAGCCCGAGTCCTACCCTGTGCCCTATACTGCTTGGGACAAGGTTTGCTCCGATTTACCCTGGTGTACTCCAGGGTACTCTGTGCAGATGCCCCACTCCAGCCTGCATTAACGCCCCCTCTCGGGTCCCGGGCCTGCATCCACACTTGAGGGCAGCTCCGCTTCCTGCTTGGCTCCCACTAGCATCCGTTATTCCGGTGCTTACGGGAGCAGCTCTCTCATTTTTCCGCCGTTTCCCCACCCACCAGTAGCTATATTTAGATGAGCCGTGAGCCTCTCTGTCTGGAGAGGAAGCTAAATTTAACTGCCATCTGATTGAAGGAGAAACCCAAGGCCCAGGATGGTGCCCTTCAAGTCGGGATAGAGAGCAGCCTGCCTCGGTGCTGTCTGGAACATCTCCGAGGAGATGCCACCTACAGGCTCCAAATTGTTGCCGAATTACTGTGGTATCGTGGAGCAAATCCAAACCCTCCGGAAGCAGACTCTCGGTCAGCATACTCTCTTACTTTGCAGAGTGACACGGCAGCGGTACCACAGCCAATGACAGCCCGAAACACAGGCCCTAGTGGTTCTGTACTCGAATCCCACATTCTGGGTCTGTCTGGATGTGTAGAGTGTATCGTTTTCCCCAGTCACAATGTCCTGGCTGTCAACACTGTGAGTCCAATTCCTCAAATGAGATCAAAACTGCAGGGGACAGTGTGCAGCTCAGTGGGTTAGGACATGATCTGAAGGTCGCTGGTTCAAATCCCAGGGTTCGCACAGTAATTCATTGTTGGGCCCATGATAAGGGATAAAATGGTTTCAGATTTCAAAGTAAACCACGATAAAATTCCTGACGATTAGTATTACTGTTTCAAATTTTAATAGTCATTAAAACTGTGGTTGGTTACCATGCTTTGAAAAAAAACAAACACATTAAATATTGTTCAGCATTAATCAAAGTTGACAGCAGTCTCCCAGATGTAGGTGCACAGGTGCAGAATGCAACATGGGTTTGTTTAGTGTCGGTAGTAGGCAGTGAGAGCGCTCTGGTGGTTTTTAGTGTTAATGCGCATTATATATGGCTTTCATGTGTTGCCATAAGGTATTGGCTTATTACTTCATGTTATTACTTTAATGTTTATGCAAATATAAAGTGCACAGTGCTGCTAAGTTTACTTGTGGCTTTCAATATAAAACTTGGTGAAATAATTTCAGTTTGAGAATCAGTACTTCTTGAACATTTTCAGCACATTTTCACAATAGCGTGACAATACTGATAACCGAGATCATTTTGGTCACATTACATTTTTATATTATTTCATCTCTACCCCTTAGCAGGGTCATTAACCCCAGTCTCCCCAGGGACTGTCTGACCCCTGCTCTCTCAGCTGTACATGGCTATAGCAAACCACATTGGACTTCAGCATAAACAGTAAAATATGGTGTTTCAGAGCAGCCACTGGAGGCGTAACGCACCCTTGGACGGATCGGGGAAGACGCCGTGGCTCCGGCTCTTGATGACGGAGGACTTGGACCCCAGAGCGCTCTGGCCTGGGGGAGCGCGGCCGTGGTCGATAACATCGCCCTGCTCCTTGAGGGCCAGCCAGCGGGGAGTGTTATCCAGCTGAACCGTATTTGACAGGTCGATCAGCACCTGGAGGCCACGGGAACAGTGGAGTCACAGCATAAGTGTGTGCATGCGCGCAGTGTGCCCTCTGCTGGACACGAACAGATACTACACTGACAAAACCCACCCTTGTGTGTGTGTGTGTGAATGATTATGTTCAAAACACTGCAGTGATGTCTCATCCACTGTAATACAGGACTGGCTCAGGCTTTGAAATATTTTGAAATATTGAGTGTTGGGGGTGGGGCACAGGGTTATCTGGGTAGGGCGGGGAACTGTAAGCCCCAACGTGGGTCAAACTTTTGACTGAGTAACTCAGGCTCAGCTTGGCGAGGCACCGTGGAGCGAGGCCTGCTGAAAAATAGCACAGGTGCAGTTACACTACATACTGCAGAAAAGAACCTTAAGAACATTCTTCTTCAAAGAATAAAACTACGTATGCAGAGACACTCACTTCACCCAGGAAGTCGTTAGAGCCCATGCGGTCGTAATCCCACACGGTCACTTCCAGGGTCTTCTTTTTCAGCTGTGAGTGAAGACAGCGATGACCACACTAAGCAAACAATCAGGCATGAGCATTACCACTGTGCCCCTGCAGGGGTCGCTGTGTCTGCGGGAGGAACCTTCATCTCCCTAGAATGCAGTCAGTCAAATTGATCAAGGGCTAATTAACATGGAAGCCGACACGTGCCCTGCGAGTCGGCTGAGGCAGAACCGCCTTCCCACTGACCTCCTGCCTGGCCCAGCCCCCATAGCGAGGTCCTAATAAACCAGGCGAACTTCCCAGAAAAGGAATCCATACGGGGTCAGAGCAGAAAAGCCAGAAGGACACTTTGTAAACAAATTTTAAGCTGAGTTAAGACTTGAGGGATGAATCCCACAGAAAATGGACAGACAGACTAACAGATAGATCTGTACATTGTATTTACACAGTATATTTGAAGTGAGATTATTGGAGCATGGAGCTGGTTCAGTGCTGCCTCTGCATTCCTTAACAATCTGCGGTCACATTATCTGGCACATTGATCAGAACCCCGTAGTGTCACCTACCTGTTCCAGGTGGATGTTCTTGTAAATGACCGTCTGATTCCACTCTGGGTTCAGGCTTTTGTTCATAGACTTGCTCCGTCTTTTGTTCTCAGCACTGCAAGAAGAGACAGATAGACAAGAGAAATAAATACACATATGCATGAAAAGACACTTCTTACAATACTTCAGAACCAAGGTAGGTTGGACTTTACTGAGCTGCCAATCATAGGCTGGGTTTATCTAACTGAATCCGAGTTAGGGTTAGGGTTAGCCAACAGAAACCAAGGTAGGCGGGATTATCCTGAGCTGCCAATCCAAGCCTGGGTTTATCCAATGGAAGCCAAAATAGGCGGGATTATACTGAGCTGCCAATCATAGGCTGAATTTAGCCAACAGAAACCAAGGTAGGCGGGATTATACTGAGCTGCCAATCCAAGGCTAGGTTTGTCCAATGGAAGCCAAAATAGGCGGGATTATCCTGAGCTGTCAATAAAAACCAGGGTTTTTTCCAGGTAGAAAGATCATCCTAAACTGTCAATCACAGCCATGGTTTATCCAATAGAAACCAAGAAAATAATCATTAGTAAGAAGTGTCAAGCAGTCCAAAATGATATACTACTACTACTAAAAATAAAGACAAGTCATCGATATATTTTTGTCGCTGTTGTTATTTTTCTGTCCCATAAAGTTTGAAGCCTCTTTCTGTCATGGCGACCCTCAGAACCTTAAAGAACAGTTACGTACATTTAGCAAATGGAATGAAGGTTTTAGAAGTGAGACGTGTCGTGGACCAGAGCGTGGGATGTGCAGGTCAGATACATGTGCAAGCAGAAAGCTGCCTTTTCGGGAAGAGCGGCACAAACACGCACACGCAACACGCACACGACAGGCACACGACAGCGACACGGGACAAGGCCAATCCCATGAAACGCGAAGGGCGGGTGCAGCGGGAACAGGAGGATCCAATTGGTTATGAGACGACGGGGCATGACAGGCTTGACAGTGGATCGTTCACATTGATCTGCGGTGGCGTCAGCGCCAGGTCCGTGGTGATTGGAGGGGCACATGCAGCGATGCTCAACCACAGAGAATCAGTAAACTCAAAGTCATCACTTTACCTGGCATTCTGGACAACCATCACTTGGCTGAAAAATCCATTTTGGGTTTGCAGCAATTTACAGATTAAAAAAAACAGCAGTGAGGGGGGGTGGGGGCTCACTTCGGCGATAAATACAGCAAACAGGGCCGGATACAGGGACAGACATGATGACTGACTGAAGGCGGTGTCTGTCAGCCGGGGGGGGGGGGGGGGGGGGTTTGTGCAGGCTGGAGTAGCAGGGATACTGCTTCCTCTCTTGTACATGCAGCCACATGGGCCGGACAGAGAAGCCTTGACCAATGTGGGGGGAGGTGGGGGCATTATCACCAATCAAAAGGCAGCAGTGTCTCCCTCAGTGGTTTGGGTAGCATAGGGTGGCATGTGGCTCGGGAGGTTGGACTTAGGATACTGTGCCTGTGATAGGAAGGCTGCAGATTCAGATTCAACTGGCTGACAGTGATGTCACCGCTGGGCCCCTGAGCAAGACCCCCTGAGCTGATTTGACGGCTGACCCTGTGCTCAGAGCCCGAGCTTCACTCTCACCTGTATATGTGTCTTAATAAAGGAGAGCATGATGGGATATGTGACAACTAACTCATTTCTATGTCTCTGTATTTGGGGAAATGGTCAGTAAGGTACCATTGATTAAGTGAAGCCTATAACTGTACAGACAGAGTGGCGGGGAGGGGCATGTAATCCAAACCTTCAGGTGCCACCCCCTGCTGCATTTACCAGGTGAGTAGTTCAGATAGCCATCTCAAATACCCAGAATGCACAGTGGCATTGCGGTTTTACAGAAGAACAACTATCAGCTGACAAATAAAAACTGAGAACAGAAGGACCGAAGGAAGCGCATCGTCATAGAGACAGACATGTGAAGTATCCGTGCCGATGCCGTCAGGGAGAGAGTCCCCTGCTGACGCACCCATAGAATGCGCAGAGGCTGCTGTGACGCCCAACAAATACATGAGGAGGGGCATGGCCCTCACTTTTTGCTGAGCCGCAGCGTGACACAAGCAGCAGCGCAGCAGCATGTCGGGCATGCAGTCTGCCATGCACTCAGGAAGCCCCGGAAAAAAACCTGCCAGCATAAATGACGACGGTTACCCGCTCTGGAACTCACCCCCTTCCGGGGAGCAGGTACACCTTGACAAAGGGGTCAGAGTAGCTGCCGCCGTCTCTGGGCGAGAGGTTCCTTGCCTGCAGGACGTGGATGATGAGGTTGCCCAGACTGCGGTCATAGTTGATTTGAAGCTGTGAAATAAATTGGAAGAACTGCTTCACTCACTAACACTGAATGGAGGAACTGCTTCACTGACTAATACTGACTGGAGGAACTGCTTCACTCACTAATACTGACTGGAGGAACTGCTTCACTCACTAACACTGACTGGAGGAACTGCTTCATTCACTAACACTGACTGGAGGAACTGCTTCACTCACTAACACTGACTGGAGGAACTGCTTCACTCACTAATACTGACTGGAGGAACTGCTTCACTCACTAACACTGACTGGAAGAACTGCTTCACTGACTAATACTGATTTGAAGTGCTGCTTCACTCATTAATACTGATTTGAAGATCTGCTTCCCTAACTAATATCGACAGTACAGCAGCAGAGGAATAAAGAATAAATTTACCAGGTGATTTTTAGAGAGCCACATAGCAGCCCCAAAATGGAGACAAACAAAAGATGGAGGTGCACAGTAAACATTATTCTGCTTTGTTATTGCAGAAGTCAGAGGCAGCAAGGTTTGTGAATTAAAAAAAATTCATATGCAAAAAAAATCTGCAGTATCAGGGCACAGGACAGGGTATCAGGGAAACCCTACTCCGGTCATGCTTATAAATGAGAACTCATGATAGCCACAGCCTACAGAGAGTTAAAAACACGAGAATGTACATGAGTACCTGGATATCGCCTGTTATTGGATGCATCTGGGTCTTTGTTGGCTCTGCAAGCTGCAAAACATCAGGGACATCAGCAAAGCAAAGCAGAGCGCCCCCTGGCTGTCCCCCCCAGGCAACACATCACGCAAATCTCCGTTAAGCTCATGCTCAGTGCTGAGACTGGAATAAAAACTAATTCCTGGCATGTGGACAGCAGATCTGCTCTCCTGGGCCCCGATGAAGGACACCTGCATGTCTACGCACTTGTGCAGCACGCCTACAGGAGTTGGTCAATGGAACTGAAACACTGACCAATTAAGTGTTTGAGGTTTCAGTCCTATATATGTATGACCTGGTGAAAAATCTTCACTGACTGCACATTCCATCCGTAAGAGCAGAGTGTGAAGGTTGAATCAGCAGAGCAACAGCACAGCTGTACATAAAATATCACAATCCACACAACAGAATGGGAGACGTATCTCAATTCAAAGTGCGTGTCTCGCTGGTGCATTTCAGCAAGTCTTTGTGGTGTATCGAGTGCCAGAGTATCCGGGGTAATGTCAGCATACCACCAATGGAGGACAAACTACATCCAACAGGAGTAACTCCGTAGGTAAGAGGAAGCTGTCTGAACGGGATGTCCGGGTACTAACTTGGAATGTATACAAAAAACATAAAACCACAGCTGCTCAACTCACTGCAGAAGTAAATGAGCACCTTGACTCTCCTGTTTCCACCAAAACTGTTCGCTGGGAGCTCCGCAGGGTCAATATTCATGGCCAGGATGCTATAGCTAAACCTTTGGTCACTTATGCCAACGCCAGATGTTGATTTCAATGGCACCAGCAGCTCAAATCTTGGGCTGTGGACACTGTTACTGTCAAGTTTATACAGTATAACATCTGGGAGAGTTATGGTGTGGAGAAGCCCCAGAGAGGCTTACCACCCGCACTGTTGCATACCCAGTGCAGCATAGGGGTGGATCAGTCATGGATTGGGCTGCAATATCATGGCATTCCCTAGGTCTACTACTTATTATTGATGAATGTGTCACTTCCAAGGACTACCAAACCATTCTGGAGGACCATGTTCACCCAATGGTTCAAGCATCGTACCCTGAAGGTGGTGCTGTGTATCAGGATGATAATGCACCAATACACACAGCCAGACTGGTGACAGAGGGGTTACATGAACATGAAAAAGAAGTTGAACTTCTCCCATGGCCTGCGCAGTTCCCAGATCTGAATATTACTGAGCCACTTTGGGGAGCCTTGGAAGAGTGAGTCAGGTAATGGTTTCCTCCACCAGCATCATGTAGAGCCTAACCACTGTTCTGCAAGAGGAAATGCTCAAAATCCCCCCGGCCACTGTACAGGATTTGTATCTATCATTCCTGAGACAAATTAATGCTGTATTGACTGCAAAAGGGAGGCCCTTCATCATTACAAGAAATTGTGGTCTAAAACCAGTTGTTTTGGTTTCACTGTCCAACCCCTGTAGGTCAATGACCTGTCAGTGTTGTCATAACATTTATAAGTACTCCCCCGCTGCTCCAGTCCCTCCCCGCCATCAGCAAGCTCCCGGTGGAGCAGGATGATGGATGTTAAAAGATGATAAATACTCTGAAGACGCAATGAATATTATAGTGAAGATCAGAGGATGAGGTGTATGGCTCACATAGGAACAGTAAGATCTACGTATGAAGGTACTCCGTGCTGAAATGCGCACAACTCATGACTGATTCGACTATTACCAAGACTGGAGATACATCAGAATGGCAGAATCAGCTTGGGGTGACATATCTAGCAGGGAAGCGAGAGGCAGAGGTATAGCTGGACCCAGAGAACTTGCCGGGAGACCCATCAAACTTGGGCTTTCCCCTGGAGAATGCCTGAATGGCCCAGTGATGCCAGCTATCACTTATTCTGCAGGACTTGCCTTGCTGCTATGCCGCTTCTTGCTGACAGAGGGCGATCCCGGCCGAGCCGGGCTGGGAGTGGCTCCTGGGTGCGCTCGTTGCCCTTTCTCCATGGCAGGCAGAACCGAAGAAGGTGACTTCTGCTGAGAAACCTTCTGCAGTTCGGCGGCCAGCTGCTTCGGATCGATTCCGGGGGACCTCTGCCTGTCTCCTGGGGACACGTCACACCAAGAATGGTTACATGCCGTCAAAAGATGTGTCACATCTTCCCCAGTAGCTAGATGGAGCCCATTCAGATGTCTGCCCAGTTCCTAATTCAGCCTGATGGAAGCGGCCTCCGCCCCGGCTGACTAGGCACACAAAGCCTGCGGATCTGTAGACCTTCAGGTCTGGGTCAGTTCTGGTCGTCTCCATCATCACATGCAAACTCTGGCAAGGCCAATTCGCCATCCCTTCACAGTGATGCATCTCAGGATGTGCTCATTCTCCACTTACCAGCTTTCGGTTGGTCCAGAATCTCCAGGCACTGGAGGTGACCTGAATCGGACAGCATGTTCAGATCCCTGAGACAGAGCAGAGACAGTTTTATCAGTGTTCACAGACCACAAATTATTACATTGCTCTGGATGCTAGTGTGACATTTTAGCCCCCTGTTGAGATTTGTGCACTACCATCACCCTGAGATCACTCTTTGTGTTATACCACGACAGTCAGGTACATAGGCAGAGTATTCCTGACTTTATGTCAATGGTATTTTAAGGAGCATTAACTGGGTTTTAACGATAATCGAAGAGCGAATGTGGGTGCGGGGGAGGTGCGGAAGGTGAGGATGACTCACAGTCTGACACAGATTTCCACTTCGCTGCTTGATCGCATCACGAGGCCTTGGACCTCCTCGAATGTTTTACCCGTCAGAGGAATCCCGTCCCACTCCAGGACCTGCATTCCTGTAACCAGAAGATGGGGTAGATTTCATTCCACACCCAGCAGCCATGCGGCACATCATCAGCTTCGCTTACTTACAGCACCTGGTTATTACTGACAGCCTCACTAGTGTTAATCGTATTTGCCCAGACTTACACCTATTTATACTATAACCCAACACGAGTGCGGACACTCAGCTCAGCTGGGCTATGCATATAGCTGCAGCGTGGTTTCCAAGCATCCCTGCTTAATGTCACCACAAACCTTAACACCAGTCAATCGATAACACAGCAAAGAAGAAGAAGCATGTAATCTGAGCAGGACCTGGGGGCCACTTCATTAATAAAGCAGCATCTCCCTCCAATGAAGCAGAATTTCTGCCTTATTCTCCCTTTGTGGAAACAAAATTAAAGAACAATCAAAGAAAAAATAGCACGTTGTGCCTTTAAGATGGGTGCTAACGTGACAGCCATGTGTTATCTTTGACAGGTCTAACAAGCACACTGCTTGCTGACGTCATTCATCCTCTCATGTGGGTCCTCCCTCTGATTTTGTGCGCCAGCCTCCGGAGGTGTCTCGAGCGTGAGGCTGGGACCCACGCCACGGCTCAGTCTGTGCTCGTGTGACCTCACTCATCATCACTTTCTGTGTCCTTGTACTGGGCCGTCTGGGAATCAATGAATGAAGCCTGGATCCAGATTCCCCCATTAACCTCAGAACACGCTGAACATTTGATGAAAGACACTGTATATGTGTTTTCTTATTTATTTGACAGATGCTTCTATCCAGAGCAAGGCACGTTTTTGCAAAAGCAGGGTCAGCCAGTCCCTGGAGTAATTGGGGGTTAAGGGCCTTACTCAGGGGCCCACCAGTGACATCATTAGGGGCCTTGTTCAGCGGCCCACCAGTGACATCACTCTGCTGATCCAGAGATTTGAACCAGTGACCTTCTGATCACAGACACAGTATCCAAACCTGCTGAGCCACACACTGTTTGAATCCACAAACTGTTAAATTCTTGAATCAGATACTATAACAATATATACTACATAACAACAAGATCATTACAATATCTGATCATGACAAGTAGTTCATGGACATTCTGCTCCTCTTAGTCTAACTTTTGTTCTTTATCTGTGTTAGTTCTGTCATTGGGAAGCAGGGGTCGGTCTCCCAGCCTTCCCCACTCAGCTATAAAGGTAGATCCACCTTGAACGGCGTGTTTGTTTCTCGTATCGTTAAATGCTTCTTAAATGCCTCCTCAGATGCTCTGTAATGTTTCTCACGCCTCATCTGTGACCTTCTCAGAGAAAAGGGCAAAACTACAGTGACAGAAAAGACACACAGGGCAAACACAGCATGCCTACACACACCCCACACGCGTGCTCACATGTCACTTACACAAACGACAGCCTGTCCTCAAGCATGCCGTTTGTTTATGCCACAGTTCTTCAGCTGCGTGGAACAATGAGATGAATGAATGCAGCACCTTCACATTGATGGGTCAAAACACACAAACGGACTTGAATGTCTACGACCTCCTACAGCAACCTCAGTGTGACTTCACAGTGCATCCTCACAATGTGACCTAACAGCATGACCTCAGTGTGACCTAACAGTGTGATCTCACAGCATGACCTTACAGTGCAACCTCAGTGTGACCCTACAGTGCAACCTCAATAGTGTGACCTCACAGTGTGACCTAACAGCGTGATCCTACGGTGCAACAGAACAGTGAGACCTCACAGTGTGGTCTCATAGTGCGACCTCAGTGTGATCCTACACTGCAGCGTGACAATCAGACCACACAGTGTGACCGCACAGTGCAACCTCACACACAAAGTCATTATCTGATTTTCACTCTACATGGTTTGGCGGTTTGGAGATTGGCTTCACATACAAGCCACAATCCGAGAAATTTTCTCTGTGCTGATTTCCGCACATTCACTTTAAATAAGAGAACAGGCGCCCAGGCGAATCGGTGCGTGAGCAGCCCAAGGACAGTGAGCAGATGCTGCCACCTCCCTCCTGCCTTTTTAACTTATCAGTAAGGCGCAGCTTGCTGCTCTCAAGCCCACTCTTCCTGTCCTATCATGGCACGGCCTTACCTGACTGACAGCTCATGTGGCCATTCAGCTTCATGTGTGCTGAAATAAAGACACAGTAGAAATAACAGGCTGACCCTTGTTGTGTTTTTGATCCCTGACCTCTTGGTTGTACATTTGATTGTATCACCATGTTTTGACCTCTGACCTCTTGGCTGTGTATGCGACTGGATCATATTGTTTTGACCTCTGACCTTTCAGCTTATGTGTGGCTGGATCGTTGTGTTTTGACCTCTGACCTTTCAGCTGTATATGTGGCTGGATCATTGTGTTTTGACCTCTGACATTTCAGCTATTTGTGTGGCTGGATTGCTGTGTTTTGATAAAACGAGCATTAAAGACAGATTAAAGATATAAAACCAGCATTAAAACTGATAAAACTGCAATGACTGTAAAACAATAGACATAGATCCTCCTCCTAAGCCAGGAGGTCTCAAAAAGGCAGTTGGGCACTCTCACCTTCCACGATCTTTCCAGCATGTTCTATGGAAGAGCCGGGGAAAACCTCGGCCACATATGCCCCGATCTCCCTGCTGTTCCCTGGGATCTCCTTCCCACCCACCACGCGGATGCCAAGTCCAGCACCTGCAGAAAGCCACAGTGACACTCAGCCGTGCAGTGCAGATAAAAGCAGAACTGCGTATATTTTTAATGGAGGGATCAGTAGAGTTAGAGTCAATTACAGCTGGTTATATAAACAGCGGAGTTATTTTACATTTATTTTCCCCTTTTACCCTAATAGCTTTAATCAATTTGCATACTCAGGTGTTGCAGGGCCCTGACCACAGCCTAGTGTAGCCTGGGCATTAAGCCAGCCTGCCCCTCTCTCGTCCGGCCACTCTGTGACGGGTATGTACATGAGAGTGTTACACCTTGAAGGCCCGCACCTGAAACACTGTGGTCGTTAGGGTCTCTCTGGACGTTCACTCTTGCGTAGGGGTAAGGGTAGCGGGGCTTCACCTGGCCAGAAAACAGGCATTTCCAAATGAAACTTTCTTTGCTTTTTGTTCAGTTACATGTACAGGCACACTGGAATGTGTTAGGTGTCATATATCCCATCATGCTCTTCTTTTTAATGCAGACACACACATAGAGGGTAGCTTGAGATCTGAGCACAGAGTCAGCCATCTATCCTGCACTCCTGGAGCATTTTTCAGGTGGTTAAGGGTCAAAGCTCAAGGGCTCAAAGGGGATGTGGCTATTTGGCTGAGCATGGGATTTGAACTAGCAACCTTCTTATTACAAGCACAGATGGCCACCCTTCACTCCCCACTGTTTTCTTTAATCATTGTGTAAGCATTGTATGTAGTTAGTGTCAAATGTGATACAACCAGTTTCTTGTATGTAGTAAATTAAAATCCCATGCACTGCCTCACAGAGATCAACCTGCTGGTGTCACTGATAGCCATGCACTGGTGACATAAGTGGCAACACAAGGCCATTACCTCTCCAAGCTGATGGATCTGCTTGTGCAGGCCAGTGTTCCCATCCATGACACGTCCCTCCCGGGGCCCATTAAACCAGTCCATCTCTTCCTGCCGTAGGTGATACGCTGTGGGAGATGGATCCCAAACATCAGTCAACCCGACCCTAGGCTGCCATCGCACGGCACACACATGCTCAGGCTGGCCTTACAAACCATGTATGAAGACACACAGCAGGAGGTGAAAGAGGAAAGAGACCAGGAGCCAATGGAAGGGCTTCGGGGGCATAGGGGATTATGGGACGCATGCATTTACACCTAAGACTTTTGGCTGGTAAGGGCCCTTCATTGTTGACCTGACACTAAAAAGACAATCCTCAAGTAGCCAGACCCCATGAAGATCCTGCAAATGTAAAGTGCAATGCATCAAATCAAGATGAGGGTGATAACAAAGCAAATCAGACTGTCTGCCAAGCTGCCCAATCCAAGTCCGGCTTTTGGAAACATCATTGTGACTTGCCAGTCCTTCCTATAAATTCTTTTTCAAAAGGGATTTGTATCACCAAAGAGCCATTTCACGTAAATGTAATCTCTCCGTTGAGTGAAAATCCCTGAGGTTCAGCAGCCAACTCTTAAATGACTTCTAGTTTCAACTTATGTTTCTTAAGCATTGCAATAAAGGACAAACAGCTTCCTGTTAGCCTTCAAATAGTTATGATCCGGGGGTGTGTGTTAGGGTCGATGTGCCAAATGCACTGTGATGGGAGGAGAGCTGATGACACACATTCACGTAGACTGCAGTGAGTCATCTATGGACAGGGGGTGGTGTACTTTGTGACTCTTCCCGACTCTCACCTTCCACATTCGAGACCACTGCTGGTACAGAACGTGTAATGTTGATTCCATGAAAACCGTATTGCCTGATGATCCACATTGAGATGAACATTAACCCAGAGTACATGTGGCTACCTGAGCAATGTAACTAACTGTGCGAAGTGGCTACCTGTGTGATGTGACTACCTGTGTGATGTGGCTACCTGTGTGATGTGGCCACCTGCGCGATGCGGCCTCCTGTGTAATGCGCCCACCTGCGCGATGCGGCCTCCTGTGTAATGCGCCCACTTGAGTGATGTGGTCTCCTGTGTAATGCGGCTGCCTGAGCAATGCGGCCACCTGTGTGATGTGGTTACCTGCGCGGATGCTGCCTCCTGTGTAATCCGGCTACCCGTGCGATGCGGCTACCCGTGCAATGCGGCCTCTTGTGTAATGCGGCTACCT